TAGATGCCCAGACGTCGCCCTTGCTGGCAATGCATCAAACCTCTCAGAACCTCCCAGAACCTTGTGGCAAGAGTAATTAATGTAGTCTTCAGATCTGTAACTGAGCAAGTTTACTTAAAAAAAATAATCCGACATCACAACCTTCAAAATCAGCATGTCTGACACCACAGCTAGAGAACAACTGTTCTAACCAACCTGTCCTTCGCTTAGCTTGGACAATCTGCAATCAAAAATCTCTCTGAAGTCCCTTACCAGCAAAAGAGAAGGAGCAGGAGTTCATTCAGGAGCAAAGACATCAGGGAGAAGATAAAAAGCTGACCTTAGGGAACCAGTGAAAATCAGATCCCTGGTTTCTACCAAAGTAGGAGCTGGAAACAAGCAAGAAAAATCCCAACATTTTGTTAGACAAAAGCCACAATATGCTGGATGAAATTAAAAAAAAAAAAAAAAAAAAAAAAAAAAAAAAAAAAAACAAAAAAGTTGGGAGGAGGAATCAGTTGGCTATTTTAAGGTAACCAGGTCCCATTATGCCATATCTGGAGGTAGTTGGATGAAATTAAAAAAAAAAAAAAAAAAGAAAAAAAAAAGAAATGAAAACAAAAGAAAAAGAGAGACTGAGAAATGGTCGATATTAGGGTAATACGAAATTTTTGAGGAAAAAAATTCAATTGAGTGAGAGAAAGACTCTATAAACATCAATAAGTATGTCCCAAACAATCTGTGCTCTCATTAATCATAATTCTAAAATGATAAAAAGACCTTCTTTTGGAGTGAAAACAGTCATCACTGTCACATGCTCCATTATGGAAAGGATTTATGTGGTTTCCTCTTAGCAACATAAACCAAGGCTTGAAAAGTTCCACATATTTTACTGTTCAAAGCCCTCTTATGGCAACTACCAGACACTACAGTGCTAATCCACATTTAAGAATTAACAGACATATTGGAAGAAAGAGCAGTAAGGAGTTTTGCTCCAAAACTATGTAGTATATTAAACAGCTGAAAGAAAATAAAGCAAAGTAGTTTTAATACAGGACTGAAATTAGAGGTCGGATTCCTTTGCTCTAATGTTGGCAAGTTTCCACCAAAATTACTTGCAATATGTTGCAGAAACTATAAACACATGGATTTACAGCAAATGACCACTTAATACCTCAAATCATAGGTCTATATTTGAAGCAAAATTTGGACTCTAAGCCAGTGTTAATAGTGCTGAGGTAAATTTGTACCAATTGAATGCTTTTTACGACCTTTATTTATTTTAAATCAAGGCCCTCTTCAGGAAAGTTGGTAGTTACAGCCTCTTACGAGAAAAATAAACCCTGCACCTCATTCTTTTTCATTTCAAGTGGCTAAAAGTCTGTGGGTACCTGAGACACTGCTGCAAGATTTTTACCTGTTTTGTTTGAACAGGCAATGACTTCATTTTCACTACCAATATCATTAGTGTAGACTTACTTTTATCTGCAGTATAACGGGTGCTCCATAGAAGCAACCTTGATTCCGTACCACACCAGTCAAAACTTTGCAAGCTACTACTTGATACACAAGTATAACCCTACATACCATTGAACTAGCTCATCTTTTTCCTTTTCTTGTTTACCTGTAGAAATATCTTGCATATCTGTCCAAAAATACACCAGAGATACTGATTTAGACAATATACTGATGGAGTCAGACTTTGCTAATGACAAGATTACTTCATTTTTGGGCTGGTGTCTCCATCAGGAGAGGAACTGGAGTTCTTCTACACATTTTACAAGGCCCTTTCAAAATGTGTAGTATTTCCATTTGCCAACTGGCAAGTTTTCAAGGCAATCCTGGTTGAGCCATAACATATACAAATAGGAAGAAACACAGAAGAGTTTAATAAAAAGAAATCTACCATGACAGCAAAGATTACACCATGTTCTAGAGTATTTCAATGAGCACTCACTAAAAAGAGATCTTGAATTTTGGGGTGGGCACTCCACAGTGAAGGAATCACCTGGAAGACTGTAGTTTGTTGCAATACTACTTGCTATAGCACACAACAGCAAATGATCACTTGTAAATTATTTTGCAGGGGGGGAATTTTGAAGCAATGAGAAATGCAAACATCCAAGTGTGAATTGTGGCCACAACTCAACTGGGAATAGTATCGAATCTAGTAAAATCTACCATAAAGTATGCTCTTCACTTCTTCATCCTCTGCAGGTTTCCACCACTACAGTTGTCAAACCACACAGGTGTATAACAAAACACGGTGCTTTTATGATTCTCTGTCTTTAACTGCTATGCTGAAGAAACACGTATATACCGGTCATTAAAATTATGGATACACTTTATCTTTCCCTAGATTCTCCCTCGCAGTTTTCATTTAAATCCTTAAATTGATTCTTAACCTTACAACATGGGAAGAACTTTCTTGGAGAGAATTCCTGATCAGAGAGGGAAACACATCTCTCTTGAGGTACCAAGCAAGAGGAGGGTCCCCCAGTCTCAGGAGAACAATTAGGGCAGGGAGAGGGTGCACAGCTTCCTCGGGCAGCCATGCACTCAAGAGCTGAAGGTAATATCATCCTGTAAGTATATACCCGTATTTTAGCTACCAGTGCACACTAAAACTCCCGTTTACAAAGGATCTGAAAGCTGTGCAGAGAGATCTCACATAGCACAACTCTCTGAACAAGATGCTCAATTGCAGACCCTCTCGTGTTTCTTTTCAACCACTTTCTCATTCCAGTTTTAAAACACAACATCTGCAAAAGTGATAAATATAATATAGAAAAGCTGAATAGATTTCACGCTTCTTATTTTTTGCCCTTTTTTTTTTAAATGCTTAATGTTTTTGACATTTGCTTTTTGGAAACTAGGTCTTTAATGCACGCAATGTTTCATGCCTGTAAAGAATAGTTGTTTGAAGTGAAGAGAGAAGACTGAAAAAAACCTAAACCTTTTCCTCCTGACCTGCTTGATCTAGGCCTAATTTTCCTGCATTTCAATCATATTAAATTTGACTCCTGGCAGTGTAAAATGTCAATTAACTTAAGATAAGTGCCATTAGATAGGGCAGACACTGGATTCTCTTGACTGTCTGACTCTTTTTGAAACATACCTGTAATTGATTGCAAGGTAACTACTGTTAAAAGCAGGATATACTGTCATTGTTTGGAAAAAAAAAATTATAAACAAAAAAATAAATTTGTCTTTTTAATTCAGCCATACCCTTTAATTCCAACTCAGATGTCCTTAGTTTTATTCCACAACATAGTGAGCAAACGTTACTGAAATAACTCTACCAGGACCCCATCAGCAAACTCTGGATGTTTTCCATATGGAATAAATATTGGTATCATTCTCCATATGGCTTTGCTTACTTTCAGTTCTAAATATGAAAACATCATAAACAGAAACAGGCATAGAAGAGTTACCGAATCCTGTTAGAGAGAAAACCTGGACACAAATGCAACACCACAAGGCAAACAGGTTTGGACTCAAAATGAAATTCCAAGATTCCAACTGCTATAGGAAGCAGCTGCTAAACTCAAAACATATCACTGCATTTTCATCAAAACTTAGGGTTTTGGGGTGTAGTGGGGGGTTTTTTGTGTTGCTGGTTTGGGGTTTTTTTTAAAGTGTTCATTGAAAATTAATTTGCCATTTTTACAGCCTGAGCAAAAGAGCAACTGTAAGCCTTGAAAGGCTACTTCCCACTCCCAACCGAACAAGATCAGCTATGTTCCTGAAACCCAGCCAAGCAGCTGTATCGCAAAAAGGTTGTTTCATTCCTATTTTGGAAACAAAAGAGGCTGCTTTGTAATGTATTATTTGCATTATCCTAATAATAAGGAAACCAGATAGTGTGTGATAGTACATACAAAAACTTAGGGTGTAATTTGGCAGCCTAGACTGTCTCATCATATATCAAGCTTTTTAATTAACAGACCTTTGCTTCATGGGGGTAAGGTGCCAGTGAAATATTACAAGCAAGACAAAAATTACATGTTATATGGAAGTAAGGGAAATAAAGAGTTTTGACTTGAAACGGCTTGCTGTCTGGCTGTTTGTACTTCATGCAACACGTGGCACTTCATAGACTGATCAGAGAGCTACCTATAGCTCAGGACAAATTACTTTGGTCCATTGCTCTCAGTAGGATTCAATTCTGACAGATACTCACTAATCACAGGGGCAAGTAAGATGCCTCCAACTTCACCACACTGCTCAGTTTTTACAATGCTCTTTTTGCTGCAATAGAAGTATCCCCCATTTGCAGAGTTGTTTTTGTCATGCTTGAGAAAGCCATAGGAGGGAGGAGAGAAACTGCTCCTTCTGGTTTAAAGTCCTGTTTAACTTCCACTATTCTTCTGTGGTTAGAAAATATATGGGGGAAGAACAGAGGGGCAGATGTCTCCAGCAGGTCCAGAGAGGTGATTCTGCCACTTTGCTCTGGTGAGACCTCACCTGGAGTATTGTGTGCAGATCTGGAGCCCTCATATAGGAAGGACATGGACCTGGTGGAGTGGGTGTCCACTAAAATGATCGGGGGGTTGGAGCATCTCTGCTACGAGGACAGGCTGAGGGAGCTGGGGTTGTTCAGCCTGGAGAAGAGGAGGCTCCAGGGAGACCTAATAACTGCCTTCCAGTACCTGAGGGGGGCCTACAGGAGAGATGGGGAGAGCCTGTTTACAAAGGCTATCAATGACAGAACAAGGGGTAATGGCTTTAAACTGGAGAAAAGCAGATTTAGATTAGACATTAGGAATAAATTCTTTACTATGAGGGTGGTGGAGCACTGGAACAGGCTGCCCAGGGAGGTGGTTGAGGCCCCATCCCTGGAGATATTCAAGGTGAGGCTCGATGAGGCCCCGGGCAACCTGGTCTAGTTGGGGGTGTCCCTGCTGACTGTAGGGAGGTCAGACTAGATGACCTTGAAGGTCCCTTCTGACCCAGATGATTCTATGATTCTCAGACACTGTGTCAAAGTTATTACTGAAAGAATATTTAAATGAACTTACCAGTAGAGAAAATAAGAATCGTGTTGTCCCAAAGACCGTATCTTTTCAGAGCATCAGTAAGATTTCCTACAGCTTCGTCCATAAGAGTCACCATCCCTGCATAATGGCGCCTCTTTACGTCTTTAATGGAGGAATATGCTTTTATGTATGCTTCAGGGACCTCGAGAGGTTCATGGACAGACTGAAAAGCGAGGTAGAGGAAGAGGGGCTGGGGTGGAAGGGATACAGTGGCAATTAGTTGAACATAAAGTACCAAATGCAAAAGTTACTGCAGCAAAAGCAGCCTCGATTCATCAACAGCTGCAGGCACTGCATTCTGATTTCTTATACACTTCTTTCTTCTAATCTTTAAGCATAAACTAATAACTTTGACAAAGGACTTTTGCAAAGCTGTGGAAAAAGATCAGGTGTATCTTCATAACACAGTTACTAACAGTTTCTTTTTATGAAACTTCTCACATTAAACTTCTCATTCTCATGTTAGGAGAGTAAACTACATGCTAAATAATTTCTACAAATCCATTACTAACACTACTAAATAAAGAAATGGAGAAGGGTAGCAGACCAGGGCTGTGCACCCAAAGCTGATTCTGACAGCAGACAAGGCACCAGCCCTGTTTTACCAGCACTATTTCTCTCATTTAGCTCTATGCACCCTGCTGAAAAGCCCCAAATTACAGCTCAAATGCAGGTCTCACCACTAATATTTCATTAGCTTTTTTTAAAAAACATTCTTTAGTGCTAAAGTTATCAAAAACATCTGCAGACTATACCTTCTCAATTCTGTGATTGGCTATAAGATCTATAGCTCTCTCTGTGAATAAATTTGTAGAGTAAATGTTTTTAAACCCAGTTGCAACTTCTTCTCCATCTCGAAAGTCCAAAGCACAGCGTGTGATGTTCTTTGTTTTGATGAGGACACAACGGTCGTGGGAATAATAATCCTCACTCCCCAGTAGGTAGCCTAAAAGAGGAAAAGATGTCAAATAAGCTGGCCAACACAATGTCATATAAACAGACATAACAGAGGGGAAAAAGGTAAAAAATAAATGTCAAAACTTTAGTGGTTTTGAGCTTATCCAGCACTTGACCATTTGTAGTGACATCCCATGACAGGTCTAAGTAACTCAACATTTAGTAATTCATAGACTTCATCGCTAATGCAAGTGGTAATTTCAAAACACGCAAAAGATTTTGACAGCAGTTCAATGACTTTATATTCATAACTGGGTATCAAATACATTAGCATTAAACTAATGCAGTGACAGCAAAGGCAGCAACTTATCCATGTACTACTCTGGTTTTTAGTGGCTGTGATTTTGTATATTTGTATTTTCACAGAAGTCTTCTCTCCATTAGAAAGTCTGGATTTATTTTTTTATTTATTCAAAAACATCCAAGTACGAAGCATTTTTAATGTCCGCTCTAAAGCAACTTCTGATCCACTGCTGACACCAACTGGTGAAAACAAGATACTGTTATTTAAAGATACCTAGAAGAAACAAACTACACAAAAACTCTAAAGGTGTAGATTTGCTCCTATCAAGGGCTATCCTGTCAAGCACTGAGTGCTTTTGCTTTTTAATGACCAGAAATAAACCTCTTCAAAATTTTCTGAATCTCACTAATTGTTACTTTGGAAATTAGATTTCATATTTATCCCCCAATATCCTGAAAGAACACACAAATGTGCAAAAATCTATTCTTAAGCTCTGCAAAGCCAAACTAAAATTGGGGACAAAAAAACAAAATGGAGGAACTCCACTTGAATTTTTACTCAGCAGCTTCGAGTACAGTTACCTGTGCAAAAAATTATGTACAGAAAGAATGAAGTTATGTTTTGAAAACAACATAAACTTCTAAACATTTTTAGGAGGATAAAATGGCTTTTGTTTCAAAGCATAAGGAGCAATTTCATGGGCAGACTGCCTACATCAATGTACTCAGAGCCACAAGTTACAATTTTCCATTTTGAGCGTCCAGTAGGGGAGACACTGCATCAAGTTTGCCAAAGAATCAAATGACTCTTAATCACAATTAATACCTACAGAGATTACATGAACTTTACAGGATATTAAACTGCTACATTTTCTGAAAAACAATGTCACGCTGGGCACTCAACCAACAACCTTGCCCAGAACCAGCCTGTATTAAGGCCCCTGCGTTAAGAGCCAACTGGGTCCCAGGGTGAGATTTCACAAGGACCGCCAGCCTCCCTACATCTGTGCTATCAAAAACATCACAAGCTCCTGCTAAGGTATGGGAGGAGGCATATATGTTTAAGCAATGAGCAGTCATATTAAAATCCATGTCTATTAGCTTAATGCAGTTGTGAAACCACGGCCCCAAGCTCCCTGAAGAGTCAAAAGAGACAAACAACCTAAGGGAACAGTACTTCACAATGAAAGTTTGGATCACCGCTGCCTATAATGGGCACGAAGCAATGTCAGGCTCTTAATATTTAAGTGCCTAAAGTCAGACAAGAGGAACGTGGACTTCAGTGTAAGTTTCTCTGTATTCTACTTTCTCAGCTGTAGCAGTGGGCAGCAGCATTATGAAGAGCTTGCAAAGCTATTTTGAAGATAATGAACTTGTGAAATCCTCCATCTAACAAAAATGTCTTAAAAAAAACCAACTGGCAATGGACAACTTTGCCTTTGGTACCACGTGGAGTGAGATGTATGGCAGGCAGCCGGGTGCACGTAACATCTGTGGCACTTGTGCAAAACTAATAAAAGGCCAATCAATATTGGGACACAAGCCTTCGCGAGAGAAAGAATAAACAATATGTAGCTACAAGTTGCTTTGTAACACAGTCACACTTGGACAACCTGATTTTGGAGTTATTTCTTTTAATCTGAGGGTTTGACTTCATAACTTGTGAGTTCCTGCAACAGACCTTTTGAATACTGTTTAGTAGAGACTCTCACACCATATTCCTTGCCAGAGGCTCCGGAAAACCAGTGCTACTCTATTCACAAAGCCCGAGCACAGCGTGGTATGATGTCCATTTCCTTCTTAAAAATATCAGCTTTTAGAAGTGTAACATTATTTGCAGAGCAAGCCACGTCTACTGTCTGATCTAACATAGGATGTTTATAAAATCTTTTTTTTTTTTTAATAAAATCAAGCCTTAAATCTTCTAACCATCATGGTAGCAAATTAAATGCAGATCATAAGGCTGAAATAATTTCTTTGGAGCCACTCAATAATTAGGATATTCTTCAGTAAGGGATTCTTCAGTAAGGCTTGGGCATGCATTTAAAGCACTATCTTATTTTAAATAGTTATACTTTGGAAACATGCATGGCCAGGTATTGATTTACTTATGCACTAATAGTAAATCTGCTGTTCTTAGAAGAATTGGTCAGTTTCTCATAATTTTTAACACCATATTCATTGCCCATATTAAATATAACAATACTTACCAAAGTAAGTATCAAATCCTCTGCGGGTTGGAAGGCATTCTTTTTTGTACATCCCCAAATGCCACTTCCCCACCATGTGAGTAACGTATCCTGCTTCCTGAAGCAGCTCCGGGAGGAGTTTCTCATCCAGTGGCAGACAGCTGGGCTGGCACGGCCAAATTATCTGGTGTTGTAAACCAGTGTGGATCTAGCAGAGAAAAGAAGGACGTGAGGTGAGTCACAGCACAGCAACGTGTTCCTGTAGGGTACTTTGTAAGAAGGTGCAGAAAGAAACAAAGCTACACCAGAGCCTAGCATTAGTTTGGGGGATTCCTGCCTTCAACGTAGCACCGAGGAAGATGAAGAAGCCACAGGGGGAGGGCAAGGGGAGTATGGAGGAAGCCAAGGAAATAGCACCAGAGGGGTTTACAAGATCTTCCCAGGCATAAATCTAGTGCAATTAAAAAAAAAAAAAAAGTAAAGCCTTTTGCGTTTTCATCTAAAAATCTAATAGGTAACAATTACCATTATGGTCTCTTTGAAGGCCAGGGTCAACATCTCAGCATGGAGAGAGAGATTTTAAATGGGATTGAGATGGGCAAAAAGGCACATGGCAGGTGAAGCTACCAAGCTTTTGCCTGTACCAGAGAACAGTCACCAGAGGAAAAGATGATAAAGGCTGAGACAGTGCTTCTTCCATTACTCCTTTTGCATTACTCTCATAATACACACATTATATATTTATTTACATGCTTAAAGTGAGTGTGAGCCCTTTTACCGAAAAAGCATTTGGATACGGGGGATAACACAAGTTTTAGACACTGTCTTGATATGACCTCTAATAGTTCCACATAAGTTTCCCATCTTAGCAAGTGGTGAATTTTGTATCTCTTTACAAAAACATGACTGACAATGATTCCCTGAGTTCTACGTATTGCTTGATGCAAGAAACCTCTCCAGTTACTGTGTACTGTAAGTTAACTTTCGTGAACTCCCCTATCTCCTCTAGAAAAAAATGCAATGCACTACTCTAAAGTTGCCAGCAAACATATACATACAAGTACGAATCGCTTATTTAGATACTAAATATTTCTAGTAACCTGGTTCTGTCAAAGCACAAAACCTCCAAGACTGCCTAGAGCAGAAGACATCACATTTTGTAACTCCACTAAGCACTCCACTGTAGGAAGCTGCACAATTAATTTTTAAAGCATCGCTTGAGCAACACTTTGAACTCACTTTTAATCCACGCAAGCCCTGATCTTAGGCAAGTGGGTAAGTAGACTCTCATAAAGGGCCTACTAGTTACTGCTTTTCTTTGAAACAGGAGCTGGAAAAAAATTCTTTTTTTTTAAATGCAGTATTACAAAAAGATTATTAATGTAGTGAAAAAGGGAAGCTAACAAAGCATTGTAATTTTTTCAACTGTCTCTAGAAAGCAAGAAAAAGGAGAGGAAAACATTAATAATAGTAATAAAAGAAAATTCAATATCTTTCACAAATCAGTATCTTTGCTATTCTTTCTTTACAGGCTGCAAGATGACTATCAAAATTCCAGCTCCAGATAGGAACAGATTTAGGTTACTTTTTCGAATGTCTGAGCAATTGTTAATCACAGCAATAGATAAACCAAAATAAAATCCTACATATTTACTACGTAATTATTTCCTGCACATTTCCTCAATTTTATAGAAAAACTACCTCCATTTTCTAATATTACTCATTACTCATTTGTAACAAGGTCAACATAGAGAAGATTAAATTACCAAGGCAGATACATATGATGAATTTGAATCTGGACAGAATTATGAGTATTTCCAATTTCCACTTTAAAGATCAGATGCAGCAACGTCCCCTTGACCCAGACCCATTTCTAGATAAGCCTATTCAGAGAACGAACTGTGTTCTAGAAATAGTCAAAATGAAAAAAATGTTTTAGGTCATTTACATAGAACAATTTAAAGAGTTGGCAAAAAAAAAAAAAAAGGTCAATTACATCTTCCTATTCTCTATCAGTGACTCTTGGGGTTTCTAGAAACAGAACAAATGTTGCTTGGAAAGAGTAATTATCACCTAGAACAACATTTCTGTGACAAGAAATAACATCTACTACTACAGATGACATTTATTTTCATTCTTAACAGTTTCTTTGACAAATAACTCTGGTTAACATGCAGGTGCAGGACTTTGAAAGAGAGAGAAAGTTTCTGAAATACGCTTAACCCTTTGTGAGTTCCTCCTTTCTGTCGTTCTGTATTCTTCTTTCCCCCTGCCTCACTTTTATCAAAGTTGCAATAAAAAGAGGGGGAGGAGAGAGGGGGGAGGGAGGAGGAAGTACAGCAGTATGAAGAAGTCCAATTCTTACACGTGTACAACTGAAAAAAAAAAATAAATGCCAAAAATCATGACTTGGACTCCAAAGCAGCTAGACATCCCGAGTAAGGACCACTCTGTGTGCACTCCATCAAGGGGTGCATAAATCTCTACACCTGTTACTACATGAATAATGCACAGGTTGTTAGGATGCATTTGAAGGCTGCATTGGAAAACAAGGGGCATAAACTGAGCAGGGAGTGCTGATCCACTTCTGGCAGCGTGTCGACTGCTTGCCTGTCCAGGTCAGAAGCAGGGAGCAGAAGGAGTGTTTTCCAGTACACGCTGCCATACCTGTCAATGCAAGTGACGCACAGCGAGCACCTCGGCTTCTCTGAAGCAGAACAGCTTGCACTACGCTCACGCTCATGTCACTGCCGAGCCAGCAAGACAAAAAGCCCCTGAAGGGAGTTTGCCTGCACATAAACGCAGCTGGTTTTTGCACAGGAGGGTTATGCTGAGCGCATCTCTGCGTGAGACACGAGAAAGCCAAGCTACACGAGAGCACTGCTAAGAAGTGGCAGAAGAAGGTCCCCACCAGCTATGGGGTGACAGGCTGGGGAGGGCAACGGGAAGGGGCTGGGAGAGGGTCGCTGGCACCAGGGAGGGATGGAGAGATGGTGGGGTGGAGAGGTGGCAGGGTGGAGAGGTGGCAGGATGGAGGGGTGGTGGATGGAGAGGTGGAGGGGTGGCAGGGTGGAGGGATGAAGGGATGGAGGGGTGG